TGCTCCCAAAAATGGCTCCACAGCATGTAAAAATATAATATAAGCTCTGGCGGACTTGGTTCTATGGTAGGTCTTAAAGGGTTAACAGCGTAACCCGATCATAAATTGAAGCAGCAGAAGCAAAGTCAGAACACAAAAGAAAAAAAATTATATTGCAAACGACGATTGATGACAGTGAAAAACTACACTGTCGCCTCCAGCGAGCTGTAGCAGCGGCAAAGCCAAACACAGGCGCCATCTTGCCCAAAAACACGGTGGTGTTTCCTATACACATTAAAACGCTCAACAACTGACTATTAAGAATGTTTAAATTATGCTTGTTGTTCCATCATTTAGAAGCTGCATCCTCAATAACAGCCTTCTTTTCTCTCGGAGTAAGGAATAACAAACCTTAAAGGAACCCTACGGGGTGGAACTAGGCCATTATTGTTTGCCTGCAAAGTAACTCTTAACTGATTTTTAAAGAGAAAATGAACCTTCTGTACATTGACTGATTCCTCTTCAAAAAAATCAGAAGATAGTAGACTTCTACAAAAAGCAAGCAAATATGTGAGCATAACACTGCCTAACAAAAGTGCTAATGTGGAATATGATTTGTGTATATTTCTGCATATGACTTTATTCCCGATGATGAGGACACATTACAGCTGTGTCAGCTTGGGTATGTGTTGTGGCACAGCACTGTGCAACATGTGTGTCCAGCAGTTGTATAGTATAGTTACTCCACAAATTGGGCTGGATGTGAGCATTGCCATCAATGATGACAGAGCTTTCTCAGTAGAGCATAAACAAATAAATGCCAATATGCCTGCTGAGAGTAGTAGCACTGGTAAAGGATTGAAAGTGAAAGACCATGCCTGCAGACTAACACAGCCCGGAGAGAGGAACACTACTGAGAGTTACATTACCTTGGCTCCTAAGATGTACTGACAAACACACATACTAACCAGACTTTTGATATGGTAAGTTTATGGAGTTCTAAAGATGGCTCCAGAAATTAGTGATTTGTAATGTCAATCAAGTCGTAGTGACAAAACAATAAAACTACAAGAGAAGATTGATAGGGAGGTAACTTGCTATATTTTGACCTTTTCCTTTTATCAGATTGTCTTCCTCATATTTCTTTAGATAGCTCTTACTTTGGCCTTTCTTCACTAAAGGCCAACTTTTGCAGGTGATTGCTTAAACATCTGTCTTTGATTGTAGGCTAACTTCAACTAATCCGATTAATGAGCCATAGGGCACGGGGCCGGTAAAAATAAAAAATAAACCACACCGTGAGGGGTTTTGAATGCTAGCAAGCAGTTAGTGTAGCTAAGTGCTGTGTAGTAACTATTTTTGCCCTCTGAAAAGATATTGCCAGCAAAAACCACCTCCAGGGAGTTGCCACACACACACACACACCACTTTAAACTTACGGCAACATTATAGATGGCCATGCCCACAGCACGATGATCATTGATTTTCTCTGTAGAGATGGACTTGGTCTCATAGGCGAGGAAGATGCCAAGCAGCAGTAGTAAGCCTTTATAACCATATACCACACCTGCAGATTAATAGATAATAGCAGTGAGGAGCAATTCAGCTTGTATTTGCTGTTTTGGAATAGGTAATATATGAAACAGATCCAGTATATGGGTCAGTTTTACTATAAGGACTGCAGTTCTGACTGTCTAACTTGGTTGAAATGCACTGCAAGTGCAAGCAACAATTTTGATAAAAAGAAAATTTGAGAGAAATAGTGAAGGCACGTTGAGCTAGTGTTCTGCTCACCAAGCCAGGTGTTCATCTTTTCTGAGTTGCAGTGCTCCAGTAAGGGCTGGATCAAAACATCAAGATCCCCTTTGGGAGCTTCTCTGGTAAATTTCTGCTCCAATAAAAAAAACAAGAAAAAGAAAAACAGGTAAACACAATAAACACACAGTGTCACGAACCTCACCAGCTACAAATTCAACAGCCTAGGATTGTGTAATGTTCTAAAAGCCTAAATGTTTGACTGGAAATAAGTGTTTGTTTTAGTTAATGAATGTTTGTCTCATAAGATTTACATGGCTCATGAAGATTTACTCATTAGAGTGCTCCCTTTTTAGTGCATGACAATTTGAAACATTACCATTGGTCTCAATCAAGATAGCACTATGTTGTATAAAACAAATTTGCAAGGAAAGAAAAGACGTGCGAGTCTTATGAAAACAAAGAAAACAAACGTTTACAACTAAAGCAAAGTTATCTACATGGCTACTCACAAAAAACTGTTACAACTAAACCAAAAATGAAAATGCTCATACCTCCACTGTGATGTGCAAAGGATCAACAATCTGCCAGATCATGAGGGACAGGATGTCGATGCCAAGCAGAACGCCAACAGTCGCGTAGAGTTTCCATGGTTCCAGGTGCTGCTGGGAAAGAGGGTCGTGGTGATCACTAAAGCAGGATGATGAGGGATCAGAAAAACACATAAATCCTCTCTTTTTGATTTTGTGAGAGAGGGATTTATGAAGCCATAAGTAGACTAGACCAAACTGGATGTGAAAACAATAATCCATCATTAACTGAGGCCAATTCAATCTACCCTCTAAGCACTTGGTCATGGCAGGGGAAGAGACAAAGGGACCATACTGATGAGCACACACAGCTACCTTACTTAGTAAATATATAAGTGTTTCTTATGCTTTCAGCTTAAAAGAAAGGGAAAAAACGAAAAGAAAAAGATTTTAAGGGACCAGCTGCAGCTCTGTAAAGAGGATTGATTTTGCTGCATTATTCCTAGAGACCAAAGCTTTGGGCTTTTCAGAAAGACACAACGGCAACAGAGAGATATGATCTGCTTGCTGAACAACACAACCACACAATAGATACTGATATTCTGAGACTGACTATTCTCTTTTTCTGTGTTTTACATTTAGAGCTGTTTAGCTGCCAGTACTTGAAATATAATTTACACTTTCTATTAACTTAAAATAGACTCTCACATTTCCATGTATTTCTACAGAATCTAATACGAGCATGTTTGTTTATTAGACGGCAATTGCCAGTGGCCTTCCAGTGTAGAGCTAACTTCTCAGATTAACTCTCCAGGAAATTGAATGCACCACTCCATTAAACCATCCCTAAATCCGTTCAATGGAAACGGATTGTGGTAGTAAGTGTCTGTCCCAGAGTTTGTGTCCTGTAACCAAATGAACTGTTCTTTGAATAAACCAAGATTGCTCAACCTAACCTTAGTCTTGGATGCGATTTTCTCTCGTTAAATGTGATGCTATGAGACAGACCATTTTAAAAACAACAAAAAACAAAACAAACAAACAGAATCGTGGATGCATTTGCAGGTCATGCTTATTGGGTTCTCTTCTCCTCGCTGTCTCCTGCCTGCCTGGGCGGAGCTCATTATTGGGCTCCCGCCTTTGGCCCACACACCTGCTCTGATTGCCGCTTCCTGCTGCTTATTAGTCCCGTCTCCTCGGCCACTATTTGAGGCCGTGAGCGTCTCATAGCAGAGCTGTTGAACAACCTGAGTTTGCGCAGCCCCATCTTAATCTAATTTTTGCTCGCTGTGTATTTCTGGCTCGTATTAATACTCGTTTCTGTATATAGAAAACGGACCAGGACCAGTTTGTGAACTGATCCCTGAGTGCGGCAGTGTGAGCTGGAGCGTAAGAGGCGAAAGTGTGAGTGGCAGAAGAGGAGTGTGTGTGAGCGGAGGAAGTGTGGACATGAGATTGCTGAAGGAGATGTGTGTGGATTCCCTTTCCCTCATCCCTCGGAGCCTTGGACCCTCCATCCCATCCTACACCTTGTAAATATTCTGAACCTTGGTGAAAATTGTAAATAAACTCGTGAACTCTTGTTTTCAGAGCTGTGTCTGCGCCTGAGTCTGTTTGGTCCATTGTGACATTTTCATTAGAAAATATTGAAGTTTCATTTTATGAAAAGGTCAAGAAAAGGATGGTATCAATATATATTTTTTTAAATTAACTGAAGAATAAATCTTGTTCTTTATGTCTACTATGTGTAAGTTATGTTTAGGGTTTCTTCTTCCTATTTCTAAGTTTAACTAGTTAAACTTTACTTTGTCTGCAACTACATCCATACTGGGATTTCAGGGGTCTGTAGACTATTAATGGGAAATCTCTAATCCCTAATCTCTGTTTCTACTATAGTCACAGTATTTATACAATGACACTTTTAAATAACACACAATATTTTCTCTTTTTTAATAACTGAGCAGCAATATAATATTAAACACACTTGTTATTTCAGCTTTTATTTGGGGGGGAGGGAATGTTAATGTTAATGGTAATTACTCCCATAGAAACATTGCTAGCTTACTTCTTCCACACTATTATTTCAATTCCTGCAGTCAGACTCGCTTTGCTTTTTTGCCTTGGCAATGCAGACTTTTCCACTTTCTCAGCTTAAACTGGAGACAAATATGTTTCCAGAGATATTGAGATTTAGAGAAGTGGTGTGATGGTATGCAGACAATATAACGATTGCAGGCAGGGAACATGTGCTTGTGGACTTGCAATGAATCTGATTAACCCTTTAAGACCTACCATAGAACCAAGTCCGCCAGAGCTTATATTATAT